GGGTAGGCGCCCACCTCCTGCTGCCGAAACCCGAGACCCCTCGCTGGTCTTTCGCAGACCCGGACCGGCTTCCGAGCCAGACTCGAGGTGCAGTCACCCTGAGAGTGCTGGGGCCCAGGTACCGCATGGCTTCCTGATTTCAGTTCAGGAAATAAATGCTCAGGGATTCGAGGGGAAAAGGAGATCCCCGAAGGCCCTTCCTGAGGCCCAACTGAGCAGGCATTCTCCTTCCTTGCCTTTGCCTGCCCACCAGAAAGAGATGGAGGAGGCTTGGAGGCCTGGGAGACGACATCTCCCGCCCGTCTGTGATGCCAATCCGTCCTTTTGGTTAAGGCACACGATTTCACTTTAACGTTCCCCCTTCTTCTATGGGTTGTCTGTAAAGGGTCCTTTCTGCCGCTCCTTGCGCTCGCTGTAAGTCAAACCGACCCACCTGCAGTCGCTGTATTTCTTGAATTTTTGTGAGGCATCCTGACATTCTTTTTTGACTTTTTTGAATCGGAGTCTCGCTCTGTCGCTCAGGCTGGAGGGCAGTGGCATGCTCACGGCCACCGCAGCCTCGACCTGCTGGGCTCAGGCTACCCTTCCAAGTAGTAGGAACCACAGTCGTGCGCCATCACGTCTGGCTAGTTTTTCTTGATTTATTGTAGAGATGTGGCCTCACCAAGTTGCCCAGGCTGGTCTCTAACTCGTGGGCTCAGGCAGTCCTCTCACCTCGGCCTCCCAAAGTGCCGGGATTACAGGCTTGAGCCACCGCGCCCGGTCAAGCATTCTGACATTCTTACTGGTCATTTCCACCCAGCTAAAGCCCCGGACCTTGTCACTCTCCCATTACTAGCTAGACCAGGGCTCCCTTTTATCTCTCTAACTGTGCAGAGGTATGATTCCACTAAATCACTCTTACACATTGTTTAGACTTATTTGAAATCTCATTTTCTCTTAAAAGATAACTGGAGCCCGGCATGGTTAGGAGGGGGAGGCAGGAAGATTGCCTGAGCCCAGGGGTTCAGACCAGCCAGATCAACTTGGTCTCTACAAAAAAAAAATCAAAAAATTAGCCTGGCTTGGTGGTGTGCACCTGTAGTCCCAGCTACTCAGGAGACTAAAATGGAAGGATTGCCTGAGCCCAGGAGGTTGAGGCTGCAGTGAGCAGTGAACCTGATGCTGCACACCTGGGCAACAGAGAATCCCCAACTAAAAAATGTACACAGACGTACACACACACATTACACACACACACAAATGTATATATTTCACACATTTGTTAAATGATAGATAAATATGTTCTCAATACCTTTATTTACTATAGTTTCTAGTATTTCTGTAGCAGCCTGTAGGCATACAATAAATTCACCACAGAAATTTAACATGGAATCACTACAACTTGGGCAAAGAAAATTTTTGTGGGATTCCTATACGCCTTTAAGGTCTTAGACACTTTTTCTCATTTCAAGTCTAGTTAAAGCTGTGGTGGTATTTTCATGGTTTTGTTGTTCCTGTTTATGACTAATAAGGAAACAAATCTCAATTCTTTGGCTTAGTAATAGAGTCAACTTATTCCATTACTCTCCAGTTATCTTTTTTTTTTTTTTTGAGTTTGAGTTTGAGTCTCACTCTGTCACCCAGGCTGGAGTGCAGTGGCACGCTCACAGACACTGCAGCCTCGACCTGCTGGGCTCAGGTGATCCTTCTGCCTCAGCTTCTCAAAGTGCTGTGATTACACACATGAGCCATCATGCCTTTAGCCCAGGAGTGCGAGATCAACCTAGGCAACATAGTGAGACCTCGTATCTACAAAAAGTAAAAAAAAAAAAGAGCCAGGCATGGTGGCATGCACCTGTAGTTCCAGAATCACCTGAGCCCAGGATATTGAGACTATGGAGAGCCATGATTGTGCCACTGCACTCTAGCCTGGGTGACAGAGTGAGACTCCGACTTAAAAAAATAAAAACAAATTAAAAGGGGAATTTTTATTGCTTTGTTTATTGGTAACAAAAACTCCAAGTACATCGTATGTATTCAGTATATGTTGAATGAATAAATTTGGAGATTACTGAGCAAGTGGAGAGTAGTAAGAGATGTCAGAGAGGCAGGCAGGGTCCAGATCAGATAGGAATTGTATTACAGATTGTATGGGAAAGCGTTGAAAGTTTTAAAGGAGGGGACTAACAGTGACATAATCTTATATAAGTTTTTTAAAGTTTTTATGCTTTTTTTCCTTTGGTGGGGGTGGAGGGATGTTGGAGTCTCACTCTTTTACCCAGGCTGGTGTGCAGTAGCATGTTTAGGGCCACTGCAGCCTCGACCTGCTGGGCTCAAGCGATCCCTCTGCCTCAGCTTTCTGAGAGTTGGAATTACAGGTGCACACCAACAGGCTAGGCTAATCCCCGCAAAGTTGCCTCCCAAAGTGCTGTTCATGAGCCACCATGCCAGGAAGTTAAAAAAAAATTTTTTTTTTTTAATCAGAGTCTCCCTCTGTTGCCCAGGCTGGAATGCAGTGGCATGCTCATGGCCACTGCAGCCTCAACCTGCTGGGCTCAGGTGATCCTTCCGCCTCAGCCTTC